AATGTGGAAATTTATCGATTAAAGAAAAAATATTTTTCTGAAAAAATCAGGAATGATAATTGAAAAAATTATTTTCAATCGTTTATGATTCAAATCTATCATTTAATATAAATAAAAAAAAAAGTTCATATATAATTAAAATGATAAAAAAAATAATGATTTGTATTAAAAAAAATAAAGGAAGTTATATATGTGTGTTTAGTGAGAAATATAAAAAAAAGAATTTAAGCCTATTTATTATATATATTGATTGAGCTGTATTATTCTTTATAAATATGAACAAATGCATAAAATTTAACAGAATTGAGGAAAGTGAAACATTAAAAAATGATTAAACTCTTTCATAAGTAATAAATATCAATTGTTATTTAAATGTTTGCCCACAAAAAATAAAAATAAAAACAGCCTTTTAATGTGTGTGTGTATATATATATAAAGTTCTTTGATTTAAAATTTGACAATTTTTTTTTACAACAACTAGCATCAACAGCGACAGCAACAGCAACAAACACAACGGGAGAAATGTGGACAATGAGTGATAAATTACACGAGATAATATTTAGCTGTCTTGTATCAGAAGAATCTGTATTGAGGTTTGTTAATTGGTTTTTTGATGGAATAAGAAAAACATTCGATGATAAAACTCTCTTTCTCAATAATAACGTTAATAATGTCAATAATGGTGATGGTAACGTCAAGAATATAAACAATGATGGTAATAATGACAACACCAACAAAATCAACAATATCAACAATGTAATTAAATTCCCAACAACATGTTTTCAATGTAATAATAACTATTTAATGGAAAATTGGTGTTATCAATGTGAATCATTTCTATTCCAATCGAATTTTCATAAATGGACATCTGACAATAAAGAAATCGACTCGTTTATTAGAGAGACGCAATTGGAAGTACCAAATTACTATAAATTTTTAAGATATTTTGGAAATTATGAAGAAGAATTTCAAATCATCAAAGAAATAAACACGACTCCAAAAAATGTATTATCCGAATCCAAATGGATCAGTAATAATAACAATAGATTTAATGGCACATTGAAACAGTGGGTATATAATACACAATTAGAAATTATTTTGGATTATTTAAAATTTAATAATAAAGAATTATCGGAGAAATTAAATAATGACAAATTAGACGGTGAATTATGGAATGATTTATTACAAGATTTTATTGTTAGAATGAAAAAAATATATGAGATGAGAAAAACTTTAAAATTAAGATTTGCTGATCATGATGATGATACCAAATTGGGAAATGACGGTGATGATGGTGGTAGTGGCAATGTATATGGAAACGGACAAGTACAAGGGATACAAATTAAAGTAAATATTTATTATTCAATTGACACATATCAATTTATTTAAACAGCTCTAATATAAATTAAATTTTTATAATTAATAGAGAAAAGAAACAAATAGATTCTTTAAAAAATTATTTAAACTTCCATTAAAAAAAAAGAAAAAGGTTTTTAATTAATTGATTAATTTAACTCTTTACTTTTAATCCTTGTATTTATCAATTTTTAAAAATTTTTTTTTAATTACTAGTTGATAAATAATCAGGTGAGAAGGGATTCATCAACAATCGCAATCAAATATATTACAAATGTACCAAAATCAACATCACCGTTTAATGATGATGCTAATAACGATGAAGATAAAAATAAATTAGTAATGCTTAAACAAATTTTAAATTCTGAAAATATTTCAAAAGATTTTATTACTCAGGTTAGGAAATAAACGAATATATCTATAATGTATATATATATCTATCTATAAATATTTATTAATTTTTTTTCTATTATATATATCAAATATAAATATAGTTAAAAAATTATCACTTGAACATAAATAGTGACAAAATACCCCAATTATATGGTATAACACGGGAACCCATAACAAAAGATTATGTGCTAATATATCAACATACAAATTCCATCAATCTAAATCAATTTCTATCAAAATATCATAAAGTTTTAAGCTGGGAA